TCTTCTTGAAGTGTTATCACCTAGTATTGGATTCAGTCATCAAAATACACCTTGCAGTAAACCTGAAGTAGATGTACTGTACTTTTTATGTTACATTAATATAGTTCTATTTATTGAAATAGGTCTTTGTGTCTACTGTAGTTTGCGGGAAATTACTTTTTGAAGCTGCAGTTTAGTCTATTTTAATTTTCCACTTTTAGGGGTTTTTTTCTGGCTAAATATTTAGAATTAAAGTGCATTGTACTTATTGGAACATAAGAAGAGCCATTCTGGTTCAAACCAATGATCTCTCTAGTCTGGCATACTGTTGTCTTGTTACTCTTGTAAAAATAGAACTTAACAGAATCTTGTCTGGGAGTAAGGCAATATGGCACATTTATTATGAGAGTAGAATTAACTTACTATCCCTAGGTACTAAAATTATCCACCACACGTGCGCAAACACTCATGCACGCAGTTCTTCAGATGGCATATAATTACCAGCCTCAGTTGCTCATGCTGTTCCACTGGCCATGTGGTCCGGACATGAGGAAGGGAGCTGAGCTGTGTTGGTGCACATTGATTCTCCTGGAGGATGATTGTAGAACCGAAAAAATGAATTATGTAGTTTGGACCCATCATTTTATATGTACTGCCCCAGTTCACCATATAACCATGAGCCATTATTTAATGAACATAAGAACGGCTGTACTGGGTCAGACCAAAGGTCCATCTAGCCCAGTAGCCTGTCTGCCAACAGTGGCCAGCACCAGGTGCCCCAGAGAGCGTGGACCGAAGACAATGATCAAGCGATTTGTCTCCTGCCATCCCTCTCCAGCCTCTGACAAACAGAAGCCAGGGACACCATTTCTATCCCCTGTCTAATAGCTTTTTATGGACATAACCTCCATGAAATTATCTAGCTTCTCTTTAAACTCTGTTATAGTCCTAGCCGCCCAGCCTCCTCTGGCAAGGAGTTCCACAGGTTGGCTACACACTTTGTGAAGAACTTTCTTTTATTAGTTTTAAATGGCAGATGGGACTTGGATCTTCTTGTCTTGATGGGGCTTTTGTGTCTGTCTTGGGTGGGTTCTTTTGCTGAGCTTGCCTGGATTGTTCTTACACCATCAGGGTTAGGGATGTTATCGTATAGTCTGATAGAGGCAGCAGCCTGGAGGGTGAGGCAGCGGGGGAGGGCAGGTGCAAGCAGGTGTTCGGGGAAGCTGACTTAAAAGCAGGGTCCCCATGAGCACCGGTTTCACAGAGCCATCTCCACACCCTCCCCCACGTTGCTGCCTCTGAATCAGAAGCAGCAGCGTAGGGTGGCAAGCTGGTCTGTGTGGGGAGCCAGTTTTTAAACCAGATTCCTTTGTGAACCAGCTCCTGTGGACAGCAGCACAGAGTACAGGGGGCTCCCTGGGAGTAGGGCTGTGAGCGCACTGGCTGCTGGCCCCGCCCCCAGGGACTTTCAAATAATCATGTAACTGCTAAGATTTGGTGCAGTTACATGATTATTAAATTAAACGATATCTAACCACCCTAATCAGGGTGGTGCTGGCAGCTAGTCTCTGAGACAGGCTGGGTGGGGGACTGATCCCATTGCATACACCACCACATTTATACCTTGAAATGAGATCCATGGTATACCCACATCTGGAATACTGCATACAGGTGTGGTCTCCTCCTCTCAAAAAAGATATACTGGCATTAGAAAAGGTTCCGAGAAGGGCAACTAAAATGATTAGGGGTTTGGAACGGGTCCCATATGAAGAGAGATTAAAGAGACTGGGACTTTTCAGCTTGGAAAAGAGGAGACTGAGGGGGTTATGATAGAGGTCTATAAAATCATGAGTGGTGTAGAGAAAGTGAATAAGGAAAAGTTATTTACTTGTTCCCATAATGTAAGAACTAGGGGCCACCAAATGAAATTAATGGGCAGCAGGTTTAAAACAAATAAAAGGAAGTTCTTCTTCACATAGCGCATAGTCAGTCTATGGAACTCCTTCCCTGAGGAGGTTCTGAAGGCTAGGATTATAACAGGATTTAAAAGAGAACTAGATAAATTCATGGAGGTTAAGTCCATAAATGGCTATTAGCCAGTATGGGTAAGGAATGGTGTCTCCAGCCTCTGTTTGTCAGAGGGTGCAGATGGATGGCAGGAGAGAGATCGCTTGATCATTACCTGTTGAATTCACTCCCTCTGGGACACCTGGCATTGGCCACTGTCGGCAGACAGGACACTGGACTGGATGGACCTTTGGTCTGACCCAATATGGCCGTTCTTATGAGATTACAGACACACACACCTGACTTTAAACAGTCTCTTACTGATTCACCACATGGGTTCCAGAATATATATAGTTAGAAACAATGTATACCACATGTTCAGTCTATAATCCAATGTATAGATTTCTTTCAACACGGCAGCATATTCAGTCTATGATCATAATTTAAAAGTATCAGAGGGGTAGCCGTGTTAGTCTGAATCTGCAGAAGCGATGAGGAGTCCTGTGGCACCTTATAGACTAACTGAAGTGTAGGAGCATAAGCTTTCGTGGGCAAAGACCCACTTCGTCAGATGCATGACGAAGATGCATCACATTGGTAGAGATCATTGATTAAAAGAGTGATTTTGTCCCTCAGCCCTGCATTCTGGCAATTACTGAGTGATCCGTCCCCTGTTCTCCACTCCTAGAATCTGGCAGTCCGTGTCCGGGGACACCCAGAACACGATGGTGCATCCCTGATGATCTTGCCTAATAGCCAGTTATGGATCTATCCTCCAGGAACTTATTTAAAATTTTTTTAACCCAGTTATTTTTTTGGCCTTCACAACATTCCCTGTTCTGTGTTCCACAGGTGATGTGAAGAAGTACTTCCTTTTGTTTGTTTTAAAGCTGTTGCCTGTTAATTTCATGAAGTGATCTCTGGTTCTTGTGTTGTGTGAAGGAGTAAATAAGGAGTAATGCTGCCTAAGTGCTTAGGATAAACTGTTGAATGGTTCTACTTTTAAATTTTTGTAGCTAGTTGTAGGGAGAAGTAAAAAGAGGTTAATATATAACTCGAAACTTCTTGGTTATGATTTTGAAAACTAATTACTGTTCTGATAGAAAGAATGAAGTTCTGTATCCTTAGTGCATATTTTCAATGTCAAGAATTGGTAAAATATTTGACTATCAGCTAGCTAGGACGCCATAAATAAAAATTAATTCTATGGCAAGTTGTATAAAATTTTGTGTTTATAGTCCACTTAATTTTCCCAATAAAGTACTAGCAGATGTACCTGTCATTGCTCAAGTCTTAGTGAAGTAAAGTGTTTGGGGGTTTGTGTGGGAAATAAAAGGAAAATGTACATGCTTTATTCAAATGATAGTATTTTTCAAAAAGAAAAAAATTGTATTAATAAAGGAAGGAATGTGACTCAAACATTAGAGTTTGTTGGTAGACAGTATTTGCAGGTTTTTTTTGCCTTTTGCTAGAATAAAAAGGATGGGTGCTGAAATGAGGGCACAAGGTGAGGGGTTGAAGGGGGGGCATTGTGGGGGGCAGCTCAAGGCAGGGGGGGAAAGGGCTTGTCTGGAGGGACTGGGTCTCCATGGTCTGGCCCCAGTCTCCAGCTTCTTCTCCCCCCACCCCAACCTGCATCTGGTTTGGGGGAGGGGAGAGCTCTGGCCTGTCCACCCTGCAGCTGGTCTGGCAGGCCAGGACTCTAGGAGCCAGAACTGGCCTGCAGCCCAGCCCTTTGCCACCACGATGTCACACAATAAGTTAAACAGGTATTCTTTATGCTTTATATCTAAAGTGGTACGAGTTTTGTATGTAAGCACACTATTTAACCATCCACCTACACATGCAGTCCTTCATGATAGCTCCTCCTCCCCTTTAGGTGCACCTTGATTATACTGCTTTTCCGTAGTCCCACAGCTGTAATTTTACATGACCTGTTGGCTTGGATGGTCTAATTGTTATTCTGGTAGATGATCTTTCTCTGTGTAATCCTTCTGAATTACAGGTAAATACTGTCTGAGTCTGTCTACTCTACAAAAATATCACAACTAGAAAACCCATTTGTTCCATCTGACCTCTTTAAAATGCAGATAAAACTTAGCATGAATGTCCAAGGATTTAGTCCTATTAGGCAGCAACACGGCTAGAGTCCCATCCATGCTGTAAAGTTTAACTGAATTCTAATGGGGTTCCTTGATTTGGACGTGTCCTCAGGGCAGTTACCTTGTTTTATGAATCTATGTATGTTACTAAAAACCTTCAGTGTTTAAGGCAGAAGCTTTCAGTGTCTTATATTTTCATATTTCATTTTTTCAGTCCTCACTCTCCCCCCCCATGATGCTGCTAATGGTCTGGGAGCTGGTAGCATTCCTCCCCGAGAACCACTCCGTTCAATCAATTAACCTTTAAATGTAAATGTTTAACTGGTTAATTAAATGGGATTTTACATACCCATTGTAAGGCTTATATTTACAGGCAGTCCCCGGGTTACATGGATCCGACTTACATCGGATCCCTACTTACAAACGGGGTGAGGCAACCCCGCACTAACTGCTTCCCCCAGCAGACCAGGGAGACGCGAAGCTAGCGCCCCCCTCCAGCAGACCAGGGAGACACAGAGCGGCTTTTCTCAGCAAACACCTCAGCTTGAGAATAAAAGACTGAGGGAAGTGAGGTGTGGGAGAATAAAACTGAGCTCTGGAGAAATGTTTGGCTAGAGTTTCCCCTACAATATGTACCAGTTCCGACTTACATACAAATTCAACTTAAGAACAAACCCTATCTTGTACGTAACCCGGGGACTGCCTGTATATCCTTATTCGAAGGTTTATATTTAGTAAAAGCATATCTGATCAAAATACAGTAAGAAACTGACTTGTAGTCTGACTTAGGAGCTGACTTGTACTAAAATTCCACAGAGTATTTTATTGCTGCTGTTACTGATATTTCTTTCTTACAAATAAACAATAAATTGTGGAATCATTCTCAAAATGGTCTACTTCATATGTTCATAGACCTCAAGAAATCAATAAAGAAGAACTTGAAGGAAACAGCATGAGGTGTGGTAGGAAGCTTGGAAAGGATGGTGATGTAAGTATAAACCATGCTTTAATTTGTAAAAAAATAAGCTATCTTGAAAACGTTACATATTTTCAGAAAGATTGTATTCAGTGGATTTTTTCAGAAACTGCACCAAAAAGGAAGATTATAATGGAAATGATATTTTCACAAATAAATCTACTTAGTGAAATACAAAATCTGAATATGGAACATTTTTAGAGGGGGAAATTTTAGCTGCTGTTGGAAACTTCTGAGTTACTTAATTATAACTTTTGCGAAGTAATGGAAACCATGGGCTTCTTAAACTATAATTTTAAATACAATGTGCACAACACCATCTGTAAAATATGAATGTAGTTATCCTCTGGAAAGTGGCTGTGTTCTGAAGAACCAACACACCGGTAAAGATAGTCATATGTATTTTCTTCTTACGCAGAATTGTTTGCTAAATTCTGGTTATTTACACCTAAGCAAAACTTTTGAAGAAAATACTGCTTTCCAGGCTCACCAGAGAGTATCATTTGATGACAATAAAGTTGACTAGACATCTGCCCTAGTTTGGCTTAAAAAAATTCATTGGCGAGAGGGCATACAAAGTAAATAAATTGACTCTGTGATTGCAGGTTGAGTTTTCAGGAATGGCATTTGGACAAAAATATGTTTACAAACGTAAACTGAGCATATTATTATGCAAATCAGTAACTCATTAAACATAGAACCCCACAGTGCCAATTTTGGTCACCTTCTGCAATAGAATTATTAATGCTCAAGATTACATCACAATGTGGTTGTAAACAGCTAATGGGTAATTCTTAATGCATAAAGTATGTTGTCTATATCCTTACATAGCAGGCCTTGTGGAATAACATTAGAAGGGTGAAGGACTTGTTTCCCAACTGTACACAATAGTCATTTAACTGAAGGATCTGTTGTTTGAAGTAACCACTTCATACATATATTCAACCCTTGGTCCAGAGGGCTCTGGAGTTATGTTTCTTAGAATTACTCTGGCAATTGGTACATTATAAAATCTTTTATGGACAGATGGATTTAAATTGAAACCTGATTGTGATTAATTCCATGGCTTTAGGTAAGAATTAGGTGGTTCCTAAAACATGTGGCTTGACCAAATTTCACTGTGTAGACAGTTACATAATTATCCAATCTAAATGTCACATCTGTTTCAATTGACAGCTCTTCTACGAGTTGTATAGAAACTGTTCTGTAGTTTTTTCATGTGATAGAAGATATCGCACACCTGAAGTGGTTGCATTTCAGTGGTGGGTGACTTAAAGCCCTGATACTGCAATCAGATCTGAGTGGGCACTTGCACACATACAGAGTCTATTGTTTGAGTTGGACTCTAAGCAGACATTGGGATATGTGGATCAGATACAGATTTTGGGCCTTAGTATGTATGTTAGGCTATGAAGTGCTTTGGGATCTCCTTCATAGTGAAAAGCACTATCTTCTTATTGGAATAACCCATTGAAATTACACATTTTCTCTGTTCTTTAGTACTGCTGGCGATGGACTGGGTTCAACTTTGGCTTTGACCTGCTCGTCACATATACAAATCGCTACATCATTTTCAAACGAAATACACTGAATCAGCCGTGCAGTGGGTCAGTCAGTTTGCAGCCACGGAGAAGCATAGCATTCAGGTAAGGAGTGGCCAACAGTTCCTATGTCACTGAAGTTTTATATTTAAAGTTAGTATTTCAACTGATTTCCTACTGAAATTGGTTCATTAACAGATGACTGCTTCATTGGCACAAGATATGCTGTATAACTGTGTGTGCTTCTATCTCCCTGTGAAATGCTATCTGCTTCTTGTAGCATCAGAAAAATAAGCTACAAGAGACAAAATCAAGTAATTTAACTCTCATTGTATCAATAGGTTACGTCTAGCTTCTTTTGACAGCAATGGGAAACTTATTTGCAGTAGAACCACAGGATATCAGATACTGACCCTTGAGAAAGATCAGGTATGTTTGTGTTATTTTTAAACCTCATAACAGTCCAAAGCATCAAAACAATTGAGAAGAATCCATCAGTGCCCCTTTAAAAAAAAATCTATTTCATTTTTTAGTTGCAGACATGCAATTTAAAATATTTCAGCTACACATAATGGAAGTTAATACTACTTGTTTAAATGGGAGAACAAAATCAGATTATCTAGTTGGATTTTATTCCTGGCTGTAATGAAATTCTCAGGGTGCTGTTTAAAATATACACCATTATCTTAACATCTTTAAGGGTACGTCTAGACAGCGGCACTATTTCAGGATACTTTCCGGTAGTCCGAAATAGCTATTCTGCGTCTAGACAGCTCACCCATTATTTCAAAATATCTTTCGAAATAACGGGTGTGCTATTCCAAAGTCCCTGTAAATCTTATTCCATGAGGATTAAGGGATGTTTCGGAATAGCAGTTTATTTCGAAATCTGGCACTGTGTGGACAGCACCAAATTATGAAATAGTCTATTTTGAAATTGACTCAAAATAACTTACGCAAATTGTGTAGCTTATTTTGAGCTAAGGGTGCAGCGAAGACGCACGCTAAGAATGATTGTTAACCAGAATTCCAATGCTTGAGAAATTAACCAGATTTGATTGAACAAGTTAGTGTAAGAGGGAGCCTTTTCATAGTGGCCAAAACTAACATTAGGCTGTTACCAAAATTTCTAGGTACAATTGCATTTTTTCCAATTATAGTATTATATAGCTTAATATTAAATATAAAATCTGTGCAGATCTTGTATTTTCAATCATATTTTAGAATATTACTGAGTATTGTCTGTTAGCTGCTACCTGTGTATAGATATAGAACAAATTCAGGGCCAATTTGATGCCTTTCTGTTAAGAATAAGTTGCAGAGTTTGGCACACGACTGTCACATGGGCCCTTGTTAGAATTCATTGTATAGTTACTTGTTCCTAAGGTTTGTTTTCTTTTATAAATAACACACAGATCTCCACTTTGGGGTCAATAGTCTAGGAGAGGGAGCATGTTTTCTTGTATAACGTCCTCTTCTTCTTTCCTTTATTTCCTGATTAAGGCAATATTTGTATGGCGCGCACACTCAAGTTTTGTTCCTCTGTAAATTTCAAATATTCCTATAGGATACATTTGCAAATTTAATGGGTCCAAATTCATTGTGAGGGGGACAGACAAAAATGTTTTGGCTAGTTCCACTACCAAGAAATTTCAGCACATCATCGTAGATAGATTATCCAGTCTGTTGAAATATCTAAATGGCAATAGATTACCATCACAGAGTCCCCAAGAACAGAGATGGTTTGGCCACCTCCTGCACTGTTTTTTTTTTTTTCTTCATACCCAATGCTGTGAATTTACAGTATGCTTTAAGTTCTGTGATGATTTCTGTCTTCTTTTTTGGAGGTAACGTACAGTTAGATGGACTCCAGTCTTTTGCTGTTTTACTTGGATCTGTTTTTATGTGCAGCTATTTATACTACCCCTTATTTTTGTTCCTCAGTATGAATTATTGTTCTAAACTCACTTAAAATGTTCCTTCATATTTGCTCTTCAGGAACAAGTAGTAATGAACTTGGACAGTAGACTTCTGATTTTTCCTCTGTATATCTGCTGTAACTTCTTATATACATCACCAGAGAAGAGAACTGAGAGTGATGGACTGCTAGACAACCCAGAAAACTGAGACACCCATTCAGTGGAACACAGTAGCACTTTTATAATTGTATGCCTGCTTTAAGTTAAATGCCCTGTTGATGCACAGAGCTATGACATATTAAAAAAGGCCTTATACTGTAGCAGATAAATATATATGTCTACTCTTTATCCTCAGTGTATTCCTATGCATATCTGAAACCACATAGGCTAAAACTAGTTATACCATACCTTTTTTTTCTTTTATTTTCTGTTCTATGTTACCAGAGAACGTCCATTCCAAGTTTGTATGAAATCTGTACCAGTTTGTTTGGACTTTTTCTGTTGTTGGAATGGGGAGTGGCACAAGATCTGAGCCTAACTGATGAAAGTGAATCTATGTGAATGAAATGTTACTACCCTTTTTTATTTGTAAAATTCCTGGTTACTTGGTTGATTTGGGTAAAAAAGCTTTCCGTTGCTAGCCACTAGGTTGTGCTCTTTGTAGCAGAACTGTAAATAGCGAGCTCTAAATTCCGCTTACTTCAGAGGCCCTTACACCAGGGCTAAATTTTCGCTTTAATTTTCTTTATAGTTTTTTAACTGTTGTACAGTTTTTTTTGAGCCTTCTTAGTTTTTAAGCCTTCCACATATCATATGTATATTTGTTTATCATGGTTTTAGACCATTTTTTTTAAATGTTGTGGAAAATATTTATCTTCTGTTCACTTTTTAGTCTAACAATAAGAAAGACAAGTCTGAAATTTTAAGACAAGTTCATTCAGAAATGCATTGTTTTTGATGTACTGAGAAGTCTACAAAGGTGTATTGTCCACCTCTTTGTGATTAACATAATCACAATTTTCAGCACGGATTCAAGTTGACTCCTAATATATTTGTGTATACCAAATATCTGTTTTTTTTTAATTTTTGTATTTCTGTATCTCCTTGTTTTAACTTTTTTCATTGGGAATCTGTATCCCACTTAACCTCAGGAACTTGTGACCTTTGAGTGCCTTTTGAGTTACACATGCTAACACAAACTTCACGTTAGTTAACAAGGTCACAGGGTCCAGAGGAGGAGCTGAGAGCAAGGGATTCATTTCCAAGTTGATGTTTAACTGATCTCAGTCAAGGATAAGATGTACATGCTATTGGTTTTGTACATATTGGTTTGTTTTTTATGTTTGTCTATTGAATTCCTACTTATAGATTTATGAATGCAAAGCAAGAACTTGCCTCTTTAGGTACCCTATTTTTTTAATGTTACTATTATCAGAAAAGGATAGAACTCTTTGTACACTGTAACAAGGATACAAATACATGTTTAGCAAAATGATAAAAACAGTGACAACTTGTGAATAAATCATTTCAAGTGGATTTAATAGTGCAGTGCTCCTTAATCTTTTCTGCCAGAAATATTTTCCAAGTCACACCAAACATGTTGGCTGTTAGCAGAATGAGAATGTCAGAAGTATTTTGGACAGTACCTGAGAAGAAATCAGTCAGGACTTTATCCTGCTAGAGCCCGACGAAATAAATGTCAAGCTAGACCCTGAAAAAATAAACTGGAAACCTAACTTCTGTGAGGGCTCCTGAATAAGTGACCGGATTTTTTTTCAAATAGTTAAGAACCCTCAACTCGCATTTGTTTCTGCAGGAGTTGGAGGTGCTCAGTAACTTGGCGGGGGGAAGGCAGAAAATCTCATCACTTATTTGTGTCTGACTTTAAGTGGCTTCTTGGTTTGAAAACCTAGACTTGAATATAGGTGCCCTTTCCACACACGAACACTGATTTTATTTCTCATTTAAGTTTTGGTAATTCTATTTATGTTGTGCTTTGATTTTGCTTCTGGGCCTCTCTTGGCCTTTCAAGCCACAACAGCTAGAATAACTTTTACATCCACCTTTTTGAGAGAGAGGAATTAGCTACTATTATAACTGAGTTCAAAGCAATTGTGTGTCCTCTGAAGAAAGGGTCATGAATTAACCATTTAATGTCTGGAAAATGTCTAATATCCAAAACAAAAATAGCAGGAGGAGTTAAATAAGATGAAACTTCTGAACACATTACTGCTTTTATAGCTTTTTAAAACTCTTGGGTAGGGAAGGAGAAGTCATGAAGTGCCAGAACTTGTTACAGGTTGGACCTCCCTGGTCTGGCAGTCTCGGGAGCTGATTAGTCCCGGATGAGGGAATTTGCTAGATCAGGGGAGGTCCCTGCCACTGGCCTCTCAGTCCACTGCTCCTCAGTGGTTTGTGTTCTTATTCACGTCTCCCTAGCTCTTCTATGCTCCCTTTTCTCTGTTTGAAGCACTGAGTGCTGCAACACATCCCTGACCAGATCCTCCCTGGTCCTCTGTGGTTTCTTTCTTAGTTAACAAAGTCTGCGGGAGAACTTGCCTGACTTTCCCCACTTTTAAAGGTGACCTGGATGAGGGGATGGACTGCATCCTTAGCAAGTTTGCGGATGACACTAAACTAGGGGAGGGGAGAGAGAGGGTCCAGAGTGACCTAGACAAATTGGAGGATTGGGCCAAAAGAAATCTGATAAGGTTCAACAAGGACAAGTGCAGAGTCCTGCACTTGGGACGGAATAATCCCAAGCATAGTTACAGGCTGGTTAAGCAGCAATTGGGCAGAAAAGGATCTAGGGATCACAGTGGATGAGAAGCTAGATATGAGTCTGTTGACTCAGGGTGCCCTTGTAGCCAAGAAGACGAATGGGAAGGAATATTTCCAACAGATCTAGAGAAGAGATTATTCCCCTTTATTCGGCACTGGTGAAGGCACATCTGGAGAATTGCATCCAGTTCTGGGCCCCACTATAGAAAGGATGTGAATGCATTGCAGTGGGTCCAGTGGAAGGCAACCAAAATGATTAGGGGGCTTACAATTAGAGGCTGAGGGATTTGGGTTTATTTAGTCTACAGAAGAGACTAGTGAGGGGGGATTTGATAGCGGCCTTCAACTACCTGACGGGGGGTTCCAAAGAGTATGGAGAGAGGTTGTTCTCGGTGGCAGATGGCAGAACAAGGAGCAATGGTCTCAAGTTACAGTGGGGGGAAGTCTAGCTTGGATATTAGGGAAAATGGGTTTCCTAGGATGATGGTGAAGCACTGGGATGGGTTCCCTAGAAAGGGGGTGGAATCTCCATCCCTAGAGGTTTTTAAGGCTCGGCTTGACAAAGGGGGTGGGCAGTGCTCCTTTTGCAGCCAAACTCTGGGTTGGGTAGACTTGGCTCTGGCAGCGCTGTCTGGGGACTGGTTTGGGAGAGCGTCATACCACGACTGTGGGGAAATGGCAGCCCTGCCATGGAATCTCTGTGAGAAAATAAGTACCTCAGCCAACTCGTCGTCAACATCTCTCAGCAAGATCCTTATGGTATCCCTGTGCCCGTCGATGCTCTGTTTGGACATACTATAGACCCAGGCAGGGCTAATCCTGCTCACAGAAATACAACCTCTGGTTGCCCCGCACTGCCACCACCTCCCCCCAGATGCAAGAGCAACTTCCCATGCTGCCGCCTATTCCCCTCCCCACCCCCCCCGCACACCCAGATGCAATATGCAAGCATCTACTGTGACACTCTCCCACCCAACCCATCCAGTCCCCTGGCTGCAATAGAACAACTTACCTTGCTGCCCATACTCCTCCTCCTCGCACCTCTGCCAGTACAGCACTTTACTCTGTGTCTTCCCTTGCTTCATGACCCTGCGTCTCTTCTCTTGTTTCAAGCTCCACATCCAGTTGCTGAGAGTCCTCATAAACGTCAGGACTTGAGAACAATTCCTCATTGCCTGGTGCGTAGGTTGTCACCAGATGGAGCCCCACCTCCTTGGCTGCTTCCTCCTCTTTATTGCTAACTTCTGCCTTTGGGTTAACTCCTGGTTCTGACTCTGTGCTATGGGAAGTACAGGCGGCCCCCGACTTGGGATGTGATCGGTTCCTGGGGAAGTATTGCAATTCGGGGGCGTCGTAACTCAAACTCTCATTTACAATAGGCATCGTGTGCCATCGTAAATGCAGACCGAGGATGTAAGTTGGGGGGTTTCAGCCCCTTCCACACTTACAGAAATGGTTGCATCTTGGGGGTTTCCTGTATCTGCACTCTCCTTAGGTGTGGACGTGGGCCTCCTCCCAGGATTGCACCCAGTTCTTTATAAAAGCAGCATGTTGTGGGTGGAGCACTAGACTGGCTGTTTGCCTCTGCATTCTGGCACGCATGCTGTTTTGCCTTGGCTCTGCATTGTGGGGTGTTCAATTGTGCCCCTTTGGACAAAGGGCTTGAGAAATGTGACTGTATGAGTCCCAGTTCCTATAGGTCACTCGCAGCTGTGATTGAACTGGTTCTTCACCCCACACACTGATAAAATCCAAAAGCGCTCCTGAGAAGACACCCACTACACAATGAGCCGGATAACAGGAAATGGATTTGAAAGTTCCTGGGGTTTGCAGGTGGGAAGGCTTCATCTGTTTACTTGTTTACATGGCTGCAGAGCAGCGGAGTTCAAAGTGCTAGTGGCTAATCAGGCATTGCGGGAAAGATGCTTGAGTTCAATAAACTCGGGAAAAAACCGACTGTAGCACACACTATATAACTGTCAACAGTAAAGGGAGGGAGAGAAACAGAAGTCCTTCATGTAGCTGGAAGTTTCTGTCATCAAACCTGGGCACAGGCTATGGGGACAAAACTTGCCAGTGTAGACAAGGCCTAAGTTACAACTGTGTGATGTCATGCTGCAGTGGGATTTTGGCAAATTATTCTCTCTACCCTTTGTTTCTTACCCATGACACACTTTCAGTCCAGTGTGTCCTCTTGCTCTTCCTAAAGTTAGAAACATTTGCCTAATGTTTTTTTCCCATTTAACCAAGAATTTAGTGTGATTGTAATGAGAAAGCAAGGGCTCTGTAGAAAGATACATGCTTCATAAAAAAGTGATCGGCACCAAGTATTGAAATTTCAAAGGCAGAACGTTAGCAATAATACGATAAGTGTTGCTTTTATGAACCTGATATTCCACAGACCAAATTATAACTGGTTTTTGTAATCAAATACAGTTCCTAAAGCACTTGGGAGCATCTTCCAGACCTAGCTAAATAGAACAATTTTAAGGTGAATTATCCTGCCCGATCAGCTACAGCCCTGGGCTTTGGCTTTTTATTAATGCTTGCTACCTACAAAGTCAAACACATGTAGAAAGTGACCCTTATTTTTCTCCCAGACTGTTGCTTTATATTTTGTTTTGGCTTAAATGGAGTGTTACCCTTAGATCAGGGATGGGCAAGAGCAGCCCCACAGCCTCCTTGCCGCTCTCCTGCCCCCAGGCCAATGGGGGAGGGGGGGTAGGGGAGCACATGAAGTCTCCTCTCACGCCGGGGAGGGCAGCACCAGAGGGAACCAGTGGCTGTTTTCAAATAGCCAGCGGTTCTCTAGCTGCTGCACTCCCCTGGCAGAACAGGGTTGGAGGTGAGAGACTTCATGGGCCCTGACTGGGGAGCATGCAGTCTCCTCCCCTCACCAGGGGCGCAGCATCAGAGGAAACGGCCAGCTGTTTTGGGTGCTTTGTCTACCCCCAAGTGGATTGGGGGACAAGGGGAGCATGCGAGGTCTCCTCCTGCTACAATGTTTAGAGGGAACCGCCGGCTGTTTTGAAACAGCTGATGATTCTCTCTAGACACCAGGGGAAGGGAGCATAGACTTCATGGGCTTCCTGACTCCCAGGCCATTCAGAGTCTGTGAGCAGGACTGCACAAGAAGTCTCCTGGCTCCGCCCCTTACACCCAAGGTCCTGCCCCTTCCGGGGTGGCCTTGGGCCACTTCAGAAATGTATGAAGTGACCCCCTTAATGACTGTCTTCCCCTGCCTTAGATGCTAGCTTAGAAGGCTGTCAGGAGCAGAAGTTCCGTGGCAAACAGAATATCTGCTGGAGGGTTGTTGAGGGTTAATATCTGTGAAGCACTTCCTAGATAAATGCTAAGTAGTACCAGATATTGGTTATAGGAATGAGACTTATTCAGTTCAATTCAGTGTAATCTCAAACAAATGAAACATTAAGTCTTTTATGAAAGGCAATAAAATTCTTATCTTTTAAAAACGGAGTGTTTATAGTGCCAGCAGGTAACTATTATCCCATTGGATAAAGGAAAATCTTGACACTATTAATCTAAATACAAATATATTCCTGCAAATGAAAAGAACGTTATTTTCTTAGCAGTACAGCTAGTTCTAAATCTCTAGCTTTAAAAGTTAGTAAACGATCTCCCTGCCCCTCCCAGTGCCTGTAGGACCACTCCAAATTCTCCCTGCCTCAGTACTTTTCATCCAATTGACATGATGCACCCGCTTACTGTGAGCCTGGTTGGATAATTCTGCTACTTAGTT